CTTTCATACTACTCCTTTTTTAACTTGCCACTCAAATCTCTTCCTCTTTCTTACCCTTTTCCCTTCATTCCTTATTATTAGCTGTACTGCAAAAGGTCTCCAAATTCTTTGTATATTTATTAATTAGAAATTGTCTTTTACTCCAGCTTTACTAGAATATACATTATTACTCTCTGATTCATTCACTTATGAATATATATAGTCAACAGCCTAGTCCATTTAGAGTGTTTTGTTTTGCCCCTAAAGAACCCTGCCTCTTTGTTACTTCTACTTTCCCAAGCCTTAAGAATGGCTAATCTACTGTGTATTCTATACATTTTTATCATCTCGGCATTTTGAATAAATGAATAATTCAACACTGTCTCTGTGCCTGTCTCTTTTTTTGCATTATATTTCTAAGATGGATTTATATTATAGCTTTTAGCAGAAGTTTCTTTTCATGAATGAATATTATTATGGGAAACTTACATTTTTGGTTATTTATCAACTTTTAGGCCTTTCAGTTGTTTCTGTCTTTTAATTTTTATGAATATTAAGTTGACATGTCATTGTATAGTACATTTTAGCCTATTGAATGTGCCAAGTTTATATTTTGTCAGTAAAGAATGTAAGAGGATGCAGAAAACAAGTTAAAAGAAGCTTATGGGGGGCTGGGGATTTAGCTCAGCGGCAAAGCACCTGCCTGGCAAGTGCAAGGTCGTGAGTTCGGTTCCCGGTACCGGAGAACCGAAAAAAAAAAAAAAGAAGCTTATGAAAGAGAAAAGCTCCTGATTGCAGAAGGGAGCAAGAAAGTAGATTGCAACTGATGTTCTAGAGGCTTTTGTATGGTGAAATTGCATTGTTTAGTGGTTCTTTTTCATGCAGTAAAATCATTTTATAGATGCCCTTAGGTGAAGTTAAAATTAACTTATTGGGTTACAATAAGTTGCTTAGCTATTATTGATCTAGTACTAAAACAAGGCATGTAGGAAGGATTCATGTACAGTGATCGTTTAGTTTATCTGTTACTGTTACTACAAAAATGAACAAGACCTTCCTGGAAGGAATAAGAGGTAATGTCTCAGTGTTCTGGTCATCCATCTACTTGCTTGTTACATTACTTAGACTTACCTGTGTGGTTGGTAGTAGTTACAGTTATTTATCTATGGTGAAACTTCTGGGCCTAACCATAATGTCTGCATCTTGTGGCCTGGTTTCTGTCGTCTTAGCTCTTAACTACAGACCCAGTTCACCTCCTATCAGCCTAATCCCTTTCGAACTACTTATCAATCTTAACCTAACTATCTGCAATATAGACATACACATTTTTTGTGTGGATTTATATCCTCATAACTCTGTGTGCATAACTAAGATAGTAATTAATGAGTAATATGGAAATAATTATGATTATAAATGGATTGTTCTATCCAAAATTATGATAAAATCTAATTACCAGTGGTATAGATGACTAAAGGAAAGCCCAGTGGTATACACTAAATAGGTGAAATCATTATCTGAATAAATATGCACAGTGGGGTTACTTAGGAGGCAATTAGAAGTGCAACAGCAAACAGAAACATCAAAACAACTCCCAGGATTTGAAGGCAGATTTACTTGTGTTGATGGGCACTGAACAAAATCACTCCCAAAATATCAGTCCCCAACGGCTCAGGGAGAGAGATTCTTATGGGGTTGCAAGCAAGAAGCAGAGTACCTGGCTGTCTTTGGTTCTTACAATATACATCATAGTGGCCAGCTATGCATCACAGTGACCAGCCATTTCTAAGAAACAAAAGTAACAGGATCTTTAACTGGAACTATTACCTGAGCAACTAACAAACTGAAGTATACTGGCAGGGGGGCCAGATCTTCTGCTGCATTTCCCCCAATCTTTTAATTTCCCTGGAAAATCTTTGCTGGGCATATAACATGGGATCTTCTGAGGCAAGACCCAACTAGAAGCAGTCAGTGATCCTATAATGAGTCCTAGCCAAGGTCCCCGAGATTGTCTCATGGCTCTATTTGGTGCCAAATATAGAAATTCCTTTCCTTGACCACATCATGGTCCAATGAAGTTTATATTTGTAGTCCCAAGGAAAAGTTATTGGAATTCCAATAAATTAATTCCACTCTACCACATCTAGTGCATCCCTGGTGAGAATAAAGACACTAAGGCATATTTGTAGTCATGGTAAGCCAAGCGGGTCCTAAGTCCAGTAAGAACAATGGCTCACCCGAACAAAGGCCCCAGGGCCAAACCCAGGTTTTACTAATTCATGAAGAGGGGAGTGGTTGAGGATGAGTAACTGTGAGAATGGTGAGAAGTACTCATTGGTGAGTGCTGTGAGCTGGGCTATGTAGGAGATGAGATAGTTCTCGGCAAAATGCAGAGAGAGAGAGAGAGATGCAGAAAGAGCAATCTGCATAACATGGTTTGAGGGAGTGTCTAATGTTTGGGGGTTGGTGCTTCAGCTTGGATGTGCTATCTTCATGCCCTGAGAGGTCATAGCCTCTTTTCTCAAGACTCAGTCTCAGACAAGAGCATGGCAGCATCTCTCAGCCTAGCTCACACATACTACTTGAGAGCTACAGGAGGCGCATCACTGATCTATGGCACTGCTTTAATGACTACACATCAGCATCTCAGCTAGACCATGTGCGATTTTCTGTGAACAGTGTTCTTTAGAATTTATAATCAGTATTGTAGACGTTGCAAAGAGAAATATTTTCAGAGTTTTCTTTTTGTGTAATTATTGTTCACAAGTGTTGATACGTGAATCGAGGGAAAAGTTCTTTCTCATCCATTCCATTGGGCATCTGGTTCAGGACTTTTTAAGTTTACTTGAAGAGAATCATGTCTATCTCCAGGATTAATAGCATAAGGCTTTCTCTGAACACTGGGTAGAAGTCACTGGTCTGTACAGTTTGGTAAATTCCAGAGTGAGGGAAATGTGTGTAAAGTGTATCAGTTGATTCTCCATTCTTGCAGAAGTCTATTTCTTTATTGTGTTCTTCTACACTTCCATTTTCTCTAGTGATTTACTCAGAAAAGTTTTGTTCTTGTTTCTTATTCAGTGTTTTCTCTTAAGTAAGATATATTGCAATCTTTTTTTAGACTTATGTTCACTGATCTTTACACTACAAATAAAATCTTTATGCTGTGTACACAGCAAGTATTTTGTTCTTGTCTGGTTTATTTCCCATGATTTTTATATATTGCAATTTATCCTTCTAATTCTGCTGTTTGCATAATTTTCTTCTGAAGAAACACTTTTTTCACCTCTAGAAGTTTTTCGCCATGAATTCTCAAGGCATTCAAGTTTATTCTGACCTTTTCAATATGGAATTTAATTATTGCAGTTATTGTACATAGAACAGAAGAGTATACAATCCAGGTTTCCAAGTACATACCTGTTTCTCCCTGAACATAAATGAAACAGATTGTGATTTCTTCCAGAGAAGCATAACACCAGCTCTTTCATGAATCGGTATTCCATATACATGTGGACACATTGAAGACTGTCTTCCTTTCATGTGATCCATTCTCTCTACTAATGAGACAGTCTCATGAAAGTTGTAATTTGAATGTCATGTATATTATGGAAGCTATCAATCTTCTCGCTGTTAGATTTTTTATTATACTGTACTGCTATATTTTTTAAATCAGAGCTGGCATTTATAAGTGACAATTTTTAAGTTTTCCCTTTTTTGAGGGGGGAAATTTGAGGCAGCGTCTCATTTTGTATTTCAGACAGGCTCTAAATTTACTATGTAGCCATGGCTGGTCTCAGACTCATGGCAATCCTCCTACATTAGCTCCCAAGTCCTGGGATTACAGGTATGTACCACTACTCCTTGCTGAAATCCTCCTTTTGTGCCTAACTGCTTTGTGATTATTGGTTTTCAATGCATATCATACATTTTAGTCATCTTCTTCTCATTACCCTCCCATACCTCTTTAGAATTTCTTCTGAGTGCAAGGTGACCATTTGATGGCACTGAGCTATAAGATAATATGCCACCTTTTCCCTATTTTCATTCTTCATAAAGTTGTTCTAACAAAACTTTCCATGAACATTTTAATTAGTATTTATAAACATTAATTGATGTTCAGTAATTTTTTTTCTTTGAAACAAAAAAAAAAATTCAAGTTTCAAAATGCTGCCTAAGTATAATCAAAGAAAGGACTCAATGCCATAAATAGTAAGGTTTGAAAAGAGGTAATGCGTACGACTTATCAAAGTCATTTGTTAGATATTCCTCTGCCCCAGTGTTTTATGGATGGTGGTCTGATAGGCTCCCTCTGTGAGTTCTGCTTTACAGACAGTGTACAGGTACACTTACAGTGACTCAGCAAAATAACCCATGCTCCTGTTCTGCTATTGTTTTAGCAATGACTGAAAATCTATTATCAGAAGTGGTGTCTTGGCCAGGCATGGTGGCACAGACCTGTAATCCCAGCATTTGGTAGGCTGAGGCAGGAGGATTGCCATAAGTTTGAGGCCATCCTGGGCCAAGGCAACCTGAATTACGTAGCAAGACCCTGTCTCAAAAAACTGAATAAATAGGGCTGGGGGTTTAGCTCAGTGGCACAAAGCCTGCCTGGCAAGTGCAGAGTCGTAAGTTCGACTCCTGGTACCAGAAAAAAAACAAAAAAACAAAACAAAACAAAAAATAACCTCAAAAAACTGAATAAATAAAAGAAATGATGTTCTGAAAGAAATGTGCATACACATGGAAATAATGATCAAGACATGAAGTTAATATTTGAAGGTTGCACCTTCTGTTCAGATGTTTTGTTGAGATAAGATCTCACTATGTAGTTCAGAATGGCCTTAAACTGACTGTGGAGCCCACGCTGGTCTTGAACTCATAGTGATCCTCCTAACTCAGCCTCCTGAGTGCTGGGATTATAAATAGTTACCACCATACCTGGCTCTCAGTGAAACTTTTTATGAGAGGAGTTATCTCAGGCTGTGAGTTTCAACCTTCCTTCAAGAAATATATTTATGATCCTTTAGGAGGCAGTGACCTTTGAGGATGTGGCTGTGAACTTCACTCTGGAGGAGTGGGCTTTGCTGAATCCATCCCAAAAGAAGCTCTTCAGAGATGTGATGGGGGAAACCTTTAGGAACATGGCTGCTATAGGTAAGGATGATAGCTCTTTCTCACTTGTACTATCAGAGAATATTGTTTGTTGCTTATGAGTGCAATTTCATTAAATAGATTCTGAAAACATTTTGAAAAATATCTCAGGCCTGGTTACTTTACAGTATGAATCTAATTGAAATCTGTTGATTTTTATGTAATGATACAGTGACTATTTCTATTTATATAATTCAGGAAGAAACCTGGATAACCAGGAAGTTGAAGAAGAGTACAATAATTACTGGAAAAACCTAAGGTAATTTGCACTTACAAGGAAAAGGAATGTCCCTTAAGAGTCCACATATGAGGAGAAACATGACCATCAAAAAAATGAGGCCATGTTCAAATTTATTTAATCTCACAAAAACTCTCCAAAAATGTACACAGCTTGACTATGTATACATTTTTAAATTTAGAAATATCCCAAAATAGGAAATTGAAATAGTATTGAAATCATATAACAAGTGACAAGATCTGATATATAATATAAAAAAAATCTTCTTTTATGATCAACATCATGAATATGTATGAAATTGTATTTAGGCATTTTGCATAGATGTATGTGAAAAGAATAAAATTTGAGTTTTTTTCAGGATATTTATGTGTACATGTGAATATGAGGCATTCAGTATCTAAAAATATTGCTAACTTAGAAGCATTATTCAAAGTGCAAGTGAATGCTAGTGTTGTAATGGATATTTTAAGTCACTGTCCAGAGAATTGAGTCAGTTCATTTTTTAAAATTCTTAGAAGCACCCTCCAACATTGTTGGTAGGCATGTTAAATGATCATCAGTATACAGACTGTACTACCAATTTCTATTAGTTTATTGAAAGGAACAGTTACTGCTTAATTGTTTGATCAATTTTGCATGCCTATATCTGGTAATCTGAATAACTACTTTGAAGCTAACAATACGCAGTATAACAACCATTGTCAATTTCCCATCATCTTGTTTTCAAATTCTATATTCTTTTATTGGTTTTTTTTTTGTTGTTGTTGTTGTTCTCTTTAAAATAAAAAAGTAAAAATAGAAATTCCATTTAATCCTAGCTTACCTCTCTTTAGTATATTCCCAAAAGAGTTCAAATCATCATATCTTACTGATACATGCATACTTATACTCAAAGCAGGTCAGTTCATAACTACTTAGCTCTAGGATCAGCCTACATGTCCATCATTGCATGTACTGATAAAAAAATTTTTGATAGACTCAGTGTGATGGTGCATTCTTATAAAGCCAGCATTCTGAAGAGATAATTGAGCAGAATGGCAAGTTGAAGTTCAGCCTAAGAAACTTAATCTTCAATGAGAATCTCTTTCAAAATAAGACACAAAGGAGCAGGAGATGTAATTCAGTACTAAGCTATGTTTAATTTCCAGCACTGAAAAGAAAATGTGCTAATAATGAGCCATGAAATTAATGACATTATGTCATTTACCAACAGAAGTGTGTGGGTTACATAACGTTACATAACGTTACATTTAATAAAGCAGGTGCAGAATGTAAAATGTCACGTTTCCTGCTATATAAACCAAAAATATAAATTAGGGTGTGAAATAAAGGAGAGGTGATAGACAAAAGAAAGGCTGACATTTTACAGATAGGAAAGACAAACAGAGTAAGGGTAGAAGGTGAAGAATGATGGGGAAAAGGTATCAAATATAATCAATATATGATATATATACGTACCAGTTGCCCAGAATGAAACTAAAACTTATGTATTGCAAAATATACAAATTTTAATATTCCCAAATAAACAGTACTATTTGGAGAATGATTGTTTTAAGGGTAACCGACAGTCCATTTAATTCATGGTCAAAATTTCAAGAGAATGTGTTCTAGTAAATCATTAATATCAAGACCAATTTTACTGTGTTTTTTTTTTCTTACCAGAAATGAAGAGGTAGAGAAATGCTATCAGTACAAAGACTGGAATCAGTATAAAGAAAAATTCCTTTGCACTATGGATGCTAATGTAGACATAAAACAAGCAGGTTTAGTACCATCTGAACGCCTTGCTTGTAGAAATCTCCAGATTGGGTATTTGACATTAAATGTGCCCATCAGAGGTCCCACTGCTCTGAAGCCAGGTGAGTATTTGGGATCTAAAGAAAAGCAGTGCAAGGGTAATGAAATTGGAAGAAACTGTGATGACTTCCAGTCCTTTCACAAGCATGCAAGAACGAAGGCTGGAGAGAAACCCTATGAATATGATCAATGTGGGAAATCCTACTGTGGTCTTAGTGAAAGAATTCACCTTAGAGAGAATACCTTTGTATGTAAGAAAAATTTTAAAGCCTCCAGAACAATCAGTGATGTTCAGATCCATAAAAGAAATCACAGCAGGGGGAAACCCTATGTATGTAAGCAGTGTGGGAAAGTTTTCAGTACACAGAGTTATTGTAAAATACATGAAAGGATTCAAACTGGAGAGAAACCCTATGTATGTAAGCAGTGTGGGAAAGCTTTCAGCACACATAGTGTTTGTCGAATACATGAAAGAAGTCACACTGGAGAGAAACCCTATATATGTAAGCAATGTGGGAAAGCTTTCAGCACACAGGGTTATTGTAAAATACATGAAAGGACTCACACTGGGGAGAAACCCTATGTATGTAAGCAGTGTGGAAAAGCTTTCAAAACACGTGTTGATTGTCAAAGACATGAAAGGAGTCACACTGGGGAGAAACCCTATGTGTGTAAGAAATGTGGGAAAAGTTTCAGCACACACAAAAATTGCAAAATACATGAAAGAAGTCACACTGGGGAAAAACCTTATGTATGTAAGCAATGTGGGAAAGCTTTCAGTACATTGTATTATTGTAAAATACATGAAAGAAATCACAATGGGGAGAAACCCTATGTATGTAAGCAATGTGGGAAAGCTTTCAGCACCAACAGTCATTGTCGAATACATGAAAGATCTCACACTGGGGAGAAACCCTATGTATGTAAACAATGTGGGAAAGCTTTCAGCACACATAGTGTTTGTCAAGTACATGAAAGAACTCACACTGGGGAGAAACCATATGCATGTAAGCAGTGTGGGAAAGCTTTCAGCAGAAACAGTCATTGTCGAACACATGAAAGAATTCACATGGAAGAGAAACTCTATGTATGTAAGCAATGTGGGAGAACTTTTAGGACATGTGATGGTATTCAAATTCATGAAAGAACTCACACTGGGGAGAAACCCTATGTATGTAAGCAATGTGGGAAAGCTTTAATGACACGTGGTGGTTTTCAAAAACATAAAAGAAGTCACTCTGAGCAGAAACCCTATGTATGTAAGCAATGTGGGAAAGCTTTCAGATGGCACAATGAATGTAAAACACATGAAAGAATTCACACAGGGGAGAAACCGTATGTGTGTAAGCAATGTGGGAAAGCATTTAGATGGCACTATGACTGTCAAAGACATGAAAGAAGTCACACTGGGGAGAAAA